TGATGATAACAAATGGATAATTAAAATGGCTAGCATAATACCATAATAATCACCGTTTAAGAGGTTTATACTATTGACAAATGCATTGCACATTTGATAATGTTCCATTAGTATTATTACTATTTCTTTCTCATCTTCAAACATACATATATGAAAAAAAACAGAAGAAAATTTGTCCTAAACTAACAAATTATATTTTTAATTATATTATAATATCATATCGATTTTAGTTAAATAATCTATTCATTTCCATTTTTCTTATACATACGAGAAATTTCATTTTACTAATATCTTCAAATTCACTTAAAAATGTCACTAGAAAGTTATTAATTTACGGCTAATGTACCATTTACAGACTTGACAAACTGTTTTTTGTTATTTGTATTTGAAATTATGTGTGGTGTGATGCGGAGTAGTTAATTCTGTACATGGTCATATTCGTTAGAAACAAAATACATCCTGATGACACACTAATGCACACATTGATTTTACACCATCATTGATTGGCGTTGCGATGTTACGTCGAATTGATTATACGAAGTGGTAACACCGGAATGTAATGAAAATGCGATAGATACACAGAACAAATGAAAACGCAGCCATTTGTCAAATATTATCAGCAATGATGTCACATCATCCATTTCTAAAGTAAATTGTTAGCCAATAAAACTTTTAAATACTCATAGCATTGTCTAAAATTTAACACATATCTATTAGTTTTGGAATTATAATTGACTCTAAGTCCAAGTCCACATTATGAGTTGCACTATGAAATATCTTGAAGTGAACCAGCATCCAACTGCTGGGAAGAACAATTCTCACGCTCAATTCCGATCATAATAGCTTTACGAAGAACTCAAAAGTCGGCAAATACTAGCACAATGATCTAACATGTATAAGTTTTCCCCTTGAGGTTCTGATTAGAAAAAAATGAAAGAAATTGGCCCAGTGATATGTAAAATTAGTGATTAATTGATCTTTATTTCCTGCAAACGCACTCTTACAACATTATCAAAGTTCCCGAAGTCACTGCTGTTCAAATCATTTTGAATTAACATTAAAAAAATTTTGCTTCATCTTCCGGAAACTTCATATCTTCCAATAATTTGAAAGTAACTGAATGCAGCTAAGTGTTCCGTGGAAAACTTGAACAGCTGAAGTACAAAATGCATGTGGACAGCGTGACGACCTAAGAAATTACAGGCGTTCGTAGCAATGACAAACTATTCACAATTGCAAAGCAATAAATTGAAAACATTCAGGACAGTTCTACAATCAGTAAAAATATCCTGCACAAAATTCTTTCCTCTCTTCTATCACAAAAATTGTGAAAAATCACTCTACAAAAAAAGCATCATAAAAAGCAATTACGTGATCCATCTCGTGCAATTCTTACTAATCTTTTTGATACTACTTTATCAAATACTTTATTCTTCGTTTCATGATAAAAAAGGAGAGGACCCCCCGATCACTGGGGCGCATACTACAGCATATTAAAATAGAAGATGGAAAACCAATACAAATATAAGCAATATCAATCTTCACTGAGTCACAATTAATAGGACACTATTTGCAACCAGCTTCCTAAAATTACGTAATGCCCCTGAGCGCTGAAACGAAATTTGAACCTTGCATCTTTTAAAGTTAAATATGAAATTAAAATAAAACACCGATTTAACTCAGTAAACAACTTGACTGTAAATTCAAACATAGTTCTCAAGAACCAGTAAAATGAAACGTAAAACACAAAAACTTCGAAAATTTGAAATATCACAAAACAGGAATGAATATTAGGCTGAGCACAACGAATTTATTAGAAAGGATGGAGAAAAATTATAAACAAAATAGTAACCGCCGATAAGCTATCATTTGTAATAAGCACGCATCAGAAATTTTAAGCTTGACTTCTGAATAAGAATACTTATAAAGAAAAGACATGCTACAAACTGGGACTATTATTAAGCTTATTAGTATAATATGATAGGATCATGAATAACTTGATATATAAAAATACAGCAGATAAAATAGAACAGAAATATTATGAACGATGACAGCTCATGATACCGCCAAGACAGTTATATATCAGCTAACTTGATAACAATAACAAGCTAAGGTTTACAATTTGATGACAGCCACGTTAAGCCTTCATATAGGCCATCACCGGTTGTAGCACAAGATGGCTGTACATACCAATTTCGATCCCTTATTCGTGTCAGTCCCAATTTATCCTGTATTTCATGAGGCTTCATAGCTGCAATGTAACAAAAATTCATAGTAGTAAACTGAATTTTTAGTTGAACGGGAACTATTCCCAAAAGAAATGTAAAAGTCTTAAAAATAAGGGAACTCTTTTCCGCTCTCTCTAGTTCAAAAAGTTTTAGACAATCATAAAGAACCATGTCATGGACAAACGACATCGATTTCACCGAAATCCGATGTCGATTGAGCAGCGATGAAGATGGTCTAACATGACCGAGTACCTTTACAAAAATGCCAGAACTCCGGTCAGGATGTCTTATTTCCGACAAGCAGTTAACAAACACACAGAGTCTTCAAAGTTCACCCAATGCTTCTACGGTACATATGCCCTACCTGTATCCAGTCACTCGCTTCTATATTGCTATCAGAGTATGTAATCTATGTAACCCACATAAAATTACGTTCACAAAACAGGAATTAACAATCCTAAAACAATGAAACATTATGGACGACTCAGATAAACATTAAGAAATGTTTTTTTTTGTAAAAATTAACCTTCGGATAGATCTTGTTTGTTAGCAAAAACAAGAATTATTGCATCTCTCATTTCTCGGTCGTTGATGATTCGATGTAACTCCTGTCTTGCTTCATCTACCCTCTCTCGATCTGCAGCGTCAATTACAAATATTAAGGCCTGCGTACCTGTATAATAGTGCCTCCACAGAGGTCTTATTTTGTCTTGACCACCAACATCCTGTAAGTCCAATTTTTTTGAGGAAGATATAGGATGAAAAGGAAAGCGAGTCAAATGTTATAAACATTATGTGACTTGAGTACCAGCTCTTATCTGCAGCAATCCTACCAAGTTATTAGTAGAGTATGAATAGTTCTTCGTAAATTTAAGTAATCTATGTCAGTGTCTTCGACTATTACATGAAAAATATTACCATTAATTACGCTGCATATCTTTAAACTAGCGTAGTATGATTTCAGGGTAAGCAAAAAGCTATTTTATCGTGACCATAGATGGAGATTACGCAACAGAGACCAAACAGTGATTGAAAAAGAAAAATCGACAGAAGTCGAAATTAACGAAAAAAAGGTTTTCTTGAACTCAAGAAAGCTTACCCAAACATTAAATTTAATGTTTTTATAAGTCACTGTCTCAACATTGAAACCGACAGTGGGGATCGTTGTTACTGACTGTCCCAATTTCAGCTTATATAATATAGCTGAAAAAAAAAAATGAAACATCAACTGATCTTGCATCTGCTTCAATTCCAGGTACAGTGTTACTTCGTCTCAAATTTAGGGCACAACAAACAAGTTGAACTAGTGGATGCTATCAAAGTCCAGATCCATGTTCCAGTGAAAAAAAGATTTTAGCAAAATTCCAATAAATTTTGTTGAACTTTGGAAAATCTGACAAAGCTTACTTGTCTTACCCGCAGCATCTAAGCCAAGCATCAATATTCGCATTTCTCGTTTGCCAAATATTTTCGACAGTAACTTCCCCATAATTCAAGCGAAAAGAAACTGAGGAGAGGAAGACTCTCCCGCCAGACGTCACAATACGGTGGATGCCACCACTGTACTGATAATTTCAGTTCTTAACAATGTTACACAAAGGAATTCAAAAATCATTCTCTGGCAATCATGACATGGAAACGTCCTGCATATAGAAGTAGCACAAGTGATGAATCAATACTGCTCAAGCAATCAACTGTTCGATGACTGTTGCAGCGAGAACGATGAATACACGGTTTTATAAAACCTAAAAATCACATAATCTTTGTTAGGAATAAACGAATAATTACACAAGGATTAAAAATTATAATTAACACATTCCGCCTGAGAGGGAAGAAACATCTTAAACAGTATATTTCCGAACAATATAAAAATAGGAAGGACTAAGCTATGTTGAAATACTACAGCACAATGTTCTTGAAGTTAGACGCAAATTCTACAGGTATTGGCATATGCAACAAACTTGAGATTTTCGACCGAAGATAGTCAGACAAATTCAAAGGACAAATAGCGTAATTATCTAATCGATTAAACGGTTAGAATCAATTCCTGAGCACTGACACATAAGCGCATTTGGCTATATGGAATTGTCCCCCCTCTTTGGGACAATCACTGATCGTCCAGTTAATTATATTATCACTATTAATGAATATTTGCACACAGCGCAACGGATCCGAAAAACTGAATTCAGCTACAATAAATGAAGGCCAAAACAGGAGAAAAAAAATCGTGAGAAAGTAGGGTATACCTGAAAAAAAACGAAATTCCTAATGAAGTAAGTCGCCATTTACTCCAGGGATTGATTTGTGCAAAAGAAATTGACCTCTTTTTTTCCTCCCCTCTACCTTTCTTTGCCGCTTTGTGTTTTTCCTTTCTACTCTGAAATATAAACTAAATTTTAGGCCAATGACTGAAAAGTTTTCCATAGTACAAACTAACAGAAGTTAAAACAGTTATGATGTGCGTCAATGAGATAGGAATGTAAACATAAAACTTCAAAACAGCCAATGTAATCCTCTTGAAATTAAAAAATTTCATCCATTTCCAGATTTTTTAGCTATGATATACCAGTGTAATACATCAATAACTTTTCATTATTACATTAGTAAACTGAGGCTAAAGTAAACTTAGGAAAATACTCCTGTAACGATTCTGTTCCATCAACACTGAAATTACAAGAAAGTTAAACTTCCCGGCTCCACGTCCATATTCTCTTTACTCAAGACAAACCCCGCCATACACTAACTCGCTATCATCTATCAAGGTTACAAAGGCTACAGGGTGGGCCACGTTTCGTAATCAGCAATGCCGCTGTGCAATTCCAGATACCAAAGTAATTTTAAAACGCAATCCCCGTATCCAGCTGATGTTAAGTGTGGAGTTGTAAATTCTGTAAAATCCTGATATCTTAGCCAAGAAAAGCAATGCATATCGGAATAATACCGAAGTATGGAAATCTATGAACAACTGTGGCTCAGTCGGTTCCCTCTAGAAGCTAGATCTTTGACACTCGAATCTGCAATCGTAATTTGAAGATTTCTTTGAAAAGTCTAATCGGTAATCCGCAGCAGACAGATTAAAAAAGTACTCTATTTTCTCCAGAAAAGATCTAACTTATACAACATATTCATCGTTGACCCTTTTTTCGCATTCAGCAGAACCTGGGACTGACCTTTTTCCATCATCAGGAAATGTCCGATCAACTCACCACTAAATTCCGGATCTCGTAGTATTAGCAAGATCTCTTCTCCGGCTTGATGTCCTTTCAATGACATAGAATTTACCCGCCGCATCCACGAAAATAAGTAGGAATTGGTAACCGTTCAGTAAGAGTATTACTGCCCATCTATAATATAACATCTATCCTGTATTAAGAAATCAATTTTTGAAAAAAATTACCGCTACTATCATTCAGGGAAAGGAAAACAAATAAATGTTGATATATTCAAAATGGAGCGACGGGTTCTCAAGGCTATCAAATGTACTGAAAATCGTAGTTCAAACCGATACATGAGATTGATGTAACACCGTTGAAAAATAGACGGATGTCTATTCTAAAGATATGGGTCATTATCGAAATGGTGTACTTCATTAATATTCCCCGGTCTTCGTAATTTTTAATTCCACATAACTCCTACAATAATACAACAATGATCCTAAAATTTGAGAAGGAATACTGAACAAATTACAAAGTAACAAAATGCACAACCTAAAACACACAACCGCGTAAAAGTTATTGCAAAGAAACTAAAATAAGTTTTCAATAAATGGTATTGTGAAGCGTGCGGAAACATAGTTTTAGGATATTTAAAACAACAGTAATTTCTAGTTTAAGGCATATCCTACATGCATAAACTCTGGATCTTCAAACAAAAAATAAATTATCACATATCTTTTGCCCTTCCTAGCTTTTCCGATCGTTTCTATGCAAAAGGGTAGGAAGGTTCACGACACATCTTTCAACCCCTGGATTGTTCTTTTTGTAAAATATTACAACAAACAATTCACCCCAAATTGAGACAACCTAAAACTGACAGTTGCTGCATCACATTGAAACAAAAGTTATCCTCCTACGCAGGACGATATTACTATTGCAAACAAACAAAAATTGTTTTAAAAAAATCTTCGTGAATCATCAAATAAATAAATAGAATAATTTACGAATAGAGAAGTAAAATAAGCTTTTAAATGTCGAGACATCACAGCCACAGGACGATATACATATAACGCTGAAATCAAACTGCAAGCGTCGTGCACATCGTTTCGGATCACAAGCATAAAACAATAACAACTCGTTTCAAAGACGACTCATGCTGAAAAAACGATCAAAGACCAATTAAGTTATTTGGCACTAAAAGATGTTTTCGCTCAGACAATGTGTGATATATTTGCACTTCAAATTGTCATCTATCATCACGTCATAGGCGAATTCATTTCACATCTAAGCGTCACCAGTTCCTCGTCCTATATTAACTCTGTACCAATTATTTCCAACGCTTAAATAATACAACACTGTATTCTCATGCTTCAAAACATATATACATTAAAGAATATGGCAAGCGTCAGTTGGCAAGTGAGGTCAACTAATTAAAATCATAACACGACTAAATCTTTCAGAAGTGTACATAATCCAACATAAAGTTGTAACAATTACTGATCATACCCTGTAAGTGATCCATTCTGGATCGAGAACAAATCCTCATCGTCCGAACCATCTTCTCTATCGCTTATATCTTTACTCAGTGCTTTCCGCAAATCATCAATGCGCTTTTCAGCACATTGTAAATCTTTAATCAAAGTCTGCTTTTCTAATTCCATTTTTTCGTGTTCCATAGCCTTAGAAATTCATCTTCAGATTTTTTACAAATTATCAGTAACCATAAAAACACAATTACATATAAAAATAAGCAAACTAAATCAAATTATGTTTTTCATTTAAATTAAATTGAAGCCAAATCTATTAATTTCATGCGAAATGTTTTCGACTAAATTAATTTCATAATGAACTCAGCATATCAGCAAACAGACTTAAATAAGTCATCTCTAAACAACATAGATTGCTTATACAGCTTGCATTGAATTTTGTCTTGTCCAAACCATTCCTCAATTCATACATTTAAAATATAAAAATTTCGTTGTTTTATACATTAAAAGCTAATAACAACTTACAACTTGTTTGCATTTATGAACGAGATCCATTTCTCTCTTACGTAGATCTTCTAATTGCTCCTGCAGCGTACTTATGTCTTTGCGTGTTTTGCGGTTTACACTGAAATCTTTTTCACGTAAGCTATTCAGTTCTTGAATCTGATCTTTGAGTGATTCCACTTCGTCATTTGCTTTTATCATCAAAGCCTGTAAAATTGTTCTATAAGAAAAATTCAGGGATGTTTCAGTGCATCAAAATAAAAACAAAATAAATAATGTACGCAGATTAAAGTTGGAAATAAGTCGGCAAAGAGAGGCAGACAACGATAGCTGTGGTTGCCAAGCGTGAAAGCATTATGCAAAAAATCAAATATGATGGAGAGAACTAATTCATATTTCAAACTTTTCTTTATCCAAGTATTACACATTGTACTGTAATCGCTTTACCTCAAGTCTAAGTTTCTGTGAGATCTCCAATTCCAGCTTCGCTTCCAGGTCACGTATTCTCTGCTCAGCTAATAACAATTTATGCTTCTCAACTGAATGCTGCTGATGATATTCCAAAGCTGACGAAACATCATTCAGTTGTTCACGCAATTTCTCCTTATCTTTCTCCATATCAGCCATCTGAAAACCATTCTCACAACGGAAATTTTCCAAAAATAACAAATTTTTCTTTGTAGATGGTCGAAAACAAATTGGCTGAATGCAGAACAATTGATCACTGAATTAACACGAAACATTCGTTTTTAACCAGTCGTTTAGACCAAAATGGAAACCTGTTCAAACTGATCGGCAATTTTGATTGAATCAACTGCACTTTGTTGCACTGCTGCTTTGTATTTTTTCAGCAAATTTCGTACCTGCTCATCCTGTTCTTCAACTAATGCTAATGCACTACTTTTCTCTTTGAAAAGTACTAACGCCCGATCTTCTGCAGAATTTTTTGCTGTCAAAGCAGCTTCCAACTGCAATATGAAAACAAAAATTACATTGGCAATTTCCAATAAGCCCACACTGCTGAAAACAAAATACTCCAGAATAAGGGAGAAAAATTATAACATAATTTACACAGAAAATTTTGCATAATAAAAATTGTGAAATGTGACGAATAAAAAGAAAGTGGTTCGTAATCCTCCAAGATGAGAAGTTCTAAAAGAAACAAAAATGGAAAAGTTTTCTTGCCTGAGCTCTAACTTCAGAAAGTTCGCTTTCCAGAGAATGACGTCCTCGAAGTGCACTTAATTTTGCAGCTTCAGCATCCATCAATTGCTCTTGTAACTGACAAATCATCGATTGATTTAGAGAATTTTCTCGTTCACGAGCCAAAACTCGCTGCGTATCTCGCAAGAGAGCTAAAGCTTTCCTCAAATCACGCTTATAATGACCTGATGAAGCTTCGAAGCTGAAAGCGAAGGAAGAAATAAAGAGATACAATTATGTTAAAAAAAACCATCGAAAGACATTAAGACATGCATAAAATTGAATCATATTATAATTAACCTAACACTATAGTTATCCATATCACGTGTACGTCCCTCCAACATACGATTTTGCTTTACCAGGGATGAATTTGTGTCTTGTAAATCTGCCACCTGCTCTTCAAAAGCTCGAGCCTGGAAGAAAAAAGAGAATTACTATTATTCTTCAAACAACCACATCAGAAATTATAGCACCAAAACCTTACTCGTCTCTGATATTGCGATCTCAATTCGTCAATTTCATTATCCTTAGCTTCCAAATCTCGCAAACGTTCCGTTCGGCCTCGCTCCGCAGCCATTTCTAGTCTCGTTATTGTTTGTTCCAACTGTTTCATTCTATCCGTCAATTCATTGAGCTCTTCTTCCTTCAAGGCAGAAAAAGCAACAACACTGATTTTGGAGAAAGTTAAAACCTAACAAACTCCATAGTTTCTGAATATGTTACCTGTTCAGCACACTTCATCTCCAGAGAATGTTTCGCCTTATGTAATGAACTAAATTCACTTTCCGTAGAGCCTTCCTTAACTTCGCTCAATTCTTCCAATTCTTTTCGTAGTTTTGCAACACTCTGACGCAGTTCACCATTTTCCGCCTTCAAATTCTGAAAATACTAGCGCTTCGAATATAGATAGAAGCATAAGTGGTAGCGCATCAAATAATGAGCTTTCCAAGCCGAAAAAACAAAAGAAGCAGTGGAACTGCGAAGTGTGAGATCGAGATTTGAAGATGCAAAAGGTGTTCAAAAATAAATAGAAATTCTTCAAAACTTTCTGAACAATGAAGCCAAATTCATCCATTATATTAACGAAAAATAACTCCTTACGAATTTGTTTAGACAGATCACAGGACAAGTAGCTTATACCTGCAATTCTGTAAACCGTCTTTCACTATTGCTGATAGCTTCTTCTCGCTCACGCTCGGCTTTAATCCGCTCCTTTTTCTCCTTTTCGCTATTGTCTTTTACAGCTTTCAAATCCACGTCAAAACTAAAAAAGCAAAAGAAACTTCGATAGCAAAAAGAAAATGTTCTTCACATAAGAACAAACTTATATTCAGAATACTTATTAAGCGATATACCATACACATACTTCTTGTAATTCCTCTCCAATGCATCGTTTTTTGCCCTGAGATCTCTCAGTTCATTTTCAACATCCTTCAATTGCTGCATTGCTTTCTGAGCTCTTAAACGTTGCACTGAATCACTTTCTTTCAAAGCTGCAACTTCTTTTTGCAGTTCTACGGTCTGCAAAAAACAACATTTTGACCTTTTTGACTGCTTAGAATTACAACATTCACTGAAAAAAACCACGTGACATAATTAAAACACATATAGATAATAAACCAATCAAATAAATATAATAAGCGCCAAATAAATAACCTTAGTGTCCACGTGTATGCTTTGATCGAGGCGTGAATGAGATGAACATGACGAAGACATATGTAAATCCTCCTTTGAATCTGAAGACTTAGAATTTCGGAATCTAAATCTTGAGAAAAACATCTTTTTAATTTTACTGCAAGTGACAAGCATAGAGCTTACCGTGAAAACGCTGCTGTAATACCAATATTTGCTTCTCAGTCTGAAGACGATGTTCCACTTCTCGTTCCAGAGTATCGTTCATGGATTGTGCATTCGCACGCTCAACAGTTAACATTTGTTCCAA